AAACACACAGCAGAAAATCTTCTTTATATAATTATTATCTGTATGTTACATTTTTATAATGCCTTTCCCCTCTACTTTAGTCCCATAACAATGCTGCAAGGTAGGTCGGATGGGCCGCAGCTGGGGAGAAAGAATGCCTGCCTCTACCTAGGAAGGATTGCTTATCTTGATTAAAAGTGAGGATTGTTTGTTGTTGTTAGCTGCCTCCCAGTTGACCTCAACCCATAGCGACCCTGTGAATGAGACCTCTCCAAACCTCCCTATGCTCTACCCCTATGCTCAGGTCCTGTAGGCTTAGACCCATAGTCTCCCATATTGAGTCTATCCAAATCCAAGCTCACCTACATCACAACATGCCATACCAGTATATATTGATTGGCCTGCTGTGAAAAGGCAAGCCAGCATTGTGCAATGTTTTGCATGTTGGAACAGGACTCTTGAGAAACTAGGATTCAATTCAGCCATGGAAAACCACTCTGTGACCTTGGGCAAGTCCAACTCTCTCAACCTTAAAGGAGTGCAATAGCAAAATTCCTCTGAAGAAATCTTGCCAAGAAAGCACTGAGTTGTTAACTGCCATTAAGTTAACTTTGATTTATGGTGACCACATAAATAGGAGAGCTCCAAGTCACCCTAATCGTAACAGCCCTACTCAGCCACAACCATACAAAGAAATGAGAAATATGATGGCATTTTCAGTGATATATCTAGACACATCAGGATCTTGTCTAGTTCCTTCATAGCTGCCCTTACAAGTCCTAGTCTTCTTCTGATTTCTTGACTGAACCAAGACATGGAAAATCTTGAATTATTGCAATATCTTCATTGTCTGCTTTAAAGTTATAAAAATCATCTGTGGTCATTATTTTTGTGTTCTTAATGCCCAACTGTTAACCTGCCTTTGCACCTTCTTCCTTTACTTTTTCAGTAATCCTTCCAAGTCTTTGCTATTTTCCACTAGTATTAAACTGTTGATGTTCCTTCCTCCAATTTTCACGCCTCCTTCTTCCATGTCTAATCCTGCTTTATTTATGATATGTTCCACATACAAGTTAAAAGACAGGGTAATAAAATACAACCAGAGTCATCATAAGTTGGAATTGACTTGAAGGTACATAACAACAACCATGTTGTGAAAATCCTTACTTGTTAACTTCCCCAAATCCAATACTGCTAAAAGGTAGTACCAGTCAGTTGGCACCTATGCCAATCCCATGCTCACCTGACAACTGAACCCTCCAGCTGGCTCTGTGCAGTTATCTCCATTCTGGCTTGACTGGTGTTGACATCGAGGGCCAGACCAACCTGGGGGGCAGAGGCAATGAGGAGCAGACTCTTTTACTACACATTGGCCTCCATGTCCACAAGGGTCTGTTGTGATGGGAGAAAAACATACAGAGAGTGAGAATAATGTAGATAGAATTAATTGTGGAGACTTCATAAATGTGAAGTCGTAGGCTTTCATGGTCGGCATCCATAGTTTTTTGTGGGTTTTTCAGGCTGTGTGGCCATGTTCTAGAAGAGTTTCTTTCTGACGTTTCGCCAGCCACAGATGCTGATGAAATGTCAGAAAGAAACTCTTCTAGAACATGGCCACACAGCCCAAAAAACCCATTAAAAACTATTTCAGGGATACTCTGGCAGCAATACAAAGAACATTTGAGCTTCCACATGGTCCAGTATGGCAGTAAAGAAGAAAGTTTCACTGCTTGTATCTCTTCCTGGTATTAAGGTATAGTATCTCTGCCTGAAATCAAGCTGGCAAATCAAATTGTATACAGTCAGCCTTCCATATCCATGGATTATTTATCCATGGATTCAACCATCCATGGCTTGAAAATACTTTAAAAATATATACATTCTAAAAAGCAAACCTTTATTTTGCCATGTTATATAAAGCCATGTTATATATACCATTTTACTATGCTATTGTACTTAATGGCACTTGTGTATCCAAGGATTTTGGTATTCATGGTGGGTCCTGGAACCAAACCCCAGTGGATCCCAAGGCCCCACGGCACAGCCTGATGCTATATATATTTACTCAGGAGTAAGGTCCAGTGTATTGAATATAGCATTCATCAGTGTTTCTATTCTGTTGAATGTAACCAGATCTTTAAGTTTTCTTCCCACTGCAGGGATTAAATTAGCAAAGCACCAAGCCAGCCTACATATGATAAGCAGTCTGCCACCATCTCCACAATTACTTTACTATTACTTACTTACTTACTTACTGGTGTGACTATTGGGGAGAGAATCCAAATTTGGTCCCCAAATGTGGCCCTACAGCAGCAGATACACTTTAATCTCATGGTTGGTTTTGTGTTATTTAGCAAACAACCCCTGTTATTGTTGTTGCAGTTATAAAGTTAGGATTGCCCATGCCCTGTTATTGTTGATGCAGTCATTCTTCCTATGAACAACACTGATAACCCAAATAGAAAAATTCCACCACCAAAAAGTGAAATATTCATTCCGAATTTTCAAAAGGGCCCAACCACTTTGGGGATGTAGGGGGAAACAAAGCTCTATATGACCAATAGGTTTTCATAGGCTTTGCTCAACTTGGGCTCACACCAAAGCTGGATCTCTTATTAGGAGGTTATCGCTTGGCATTTTGAATTGAATTAAGCCTCCTGGGCTGCAGCTGGAGGCTTCTAAAAAGCGGCAGCTGAGCCCAGCTTGGACCCAGGCTGATGGTGGCCGGTGATTTGGCGGCGATTTGGCATGTGATAATCCCTGCCTCCATCCCGCCTCCCGGCTACAGCCCAGGAGGCTTAATTCAATTTAAAACGCCAAGCGTTTTAGGCAGTGATTTCTTAGGCAGTGAGGTGGATAAGGAGCTGAGGAGAAGCAATGGCAATATCCCAGTAGTTCTTCCTCAACTCTGTAGATGTTTCCTTGTCTTAGATCATGAATGGGCAACTGCACAGGGGCCGAAGGCCATTTTCCCACCCTGTGCCCAGTTTGTAGGCAACATCGGTGTATTTTGGTGTGCTGAAGCAATGCAATGTTAAATGAGCAACCTGTAAGGTGCTCTGGCAGCATTTGTGGCCGAAAAGTGGGGTATAAATACTCTAAATAATAAATAAATACATGCCACTTCTGGCTACCATTTTGCCTGTTTTTCAATTTTTCCCATTTCTTTGGTGTTTTAGAGATGTTTAGGGTACTTTGGAGAGTCTGGGGAAACAGATCACCATGTTTTGGGGCATAAAATTGCCTACAAATCATCCCAATTTTTAAAAAATCTTAGAGGGCAGAAGCCACACGCAACCTCTCCTTGGCCCATTAAATTAGTATCAGGTATAGTAGGAAGGTGCTGTTATTGTTGCTGCCATTGTTAACATCTTTATTTATACTCCCCCTTTTCCCCCAAAACTGGGACTCAAGCAGCTTACAAATTAAAATATAATAGTTAAAATACATATATACAGTTGACCCTCTGTTTTTGCAGGGGATCCGTTCCAGACACCACCACCCCCGCAAAAACGGAGATTAGCAAATATTCAAGCCACATAGGTTTGAATGGGGAGCACCCCATTCAATTAAACAGAGGTCACCCCTCCGTGAATATGTAAAACCATGAAATTGAAGTCCGCGAGAATGGAGGGGCCACTATATATTGTAAAAAATCAACATTAAAAATGTGAGCTTATTTTGGTACCAGGCTGGGAGGAAGGAGAGATACAAAACAAACAAGCAACATTTAAAAACAATTTCAAACACAGTATTAAAAGTGATTTTAAAAACCGGTATGGACAGTATAATAAAAAAGTACAGCACTCTTCTAAAAGACTTTTTGTTTGTTTGTTTAGAAAATGTATACTCTGCTTTTTAGCCATAAAGGCTCCCACATTGGCTTACAAATGGTTAATTTTTACCTTAAAAACCCTCAGTTCTAAAAACCCTGTTGAATAAAAAAAGTATTTTCTTGCCAAAGGAATTGCTGCAAGGAATGGGCCATTTACATTCCCTAGAAGGCCCTGTCTCACAATTCCACTAAGCATGCCTGTGTCAGACCTCCTAGAGATCTTAGGGCCTGGGGAGGCTTATATGTAGAGATACTTCTGTCTAATAGCCTGGACCTAAGCCATATAGGGCTTTATGGGTCATAACCAGCACTTTGAATTGTTCCTGGAAACAGACTGGCAGTCAGTGGAGCTGTTTACAGTGTTTGTTTGTTTTGTTTTGTTTTGTATGCCGCCTTTCTCCCAGGAGGGACCCAAGAAGGTTTATAGGTAAAACATTTTAAAAACCTCAATAAAATTCAAAATAATTAAAATCATCTACAACAATATAAAATCACATAAAAACATACAAAAGTTAAAAGCATAACTAAAACCCACCAGCTCCATAAACAACCACCTTGATATCAATTATATATCAAATGCCTGCTTAAATAAAAATGACTTGGCTTGCTCACAAAAAGCAGGCAGGGAGGAGGCCAGCCTAGCTTCCTATGGAAGTGCATTTCAGAGAGCAGCCACCAAGAAGGCTCTCTCTTGTGTCCTCCTCTCCAAGCAAGCCTGAGATGATGGTGGGACTGAGAGAAAGCCTTCTCCTGAAATTTTTAGGGCTCTAGCGGGTTCGTATGGGGAGATATGGTCTCTCAAATCATCTGGACCTAAGCTGTGCAGGGCTTTATAGGTCATAACTAACACTTTGAATTGTGCCCAGAAACGAACTGGTAGCCAGCAAAGCTGTTTCAATACGGGAGTTACATGCTCCCTATAACTGGCCACAGTCAGCATTCTGGCTGCACTGTTTTGCACCCACTGAAGTTTCCAAACAGTTTCCAAAGGCAACCCCACACAGAGTGCATTGTAACAAGGGATTTGTATGGTTGTGCGCCTCCAACTCATTAATGACTTATGGCAATCCTAAGGCAAACCTATCATGGGGTTTTCTTGGCAAGATTTGTTCAGAGCAGATTTGCCATTGCCTTCCCCTGAGGTTGACAGCATATGACTTGCCCAAGATCACCCAGTGGGTTTCAAAGCCAAGCTGGGAATCGAACTCCGGTCTCTAGAGTCATAGTCCAACGCTCAAACCACTGTGTCACTCTGGCTTTCATAACATTACATGTAACATGTAACTTAAAGTAAAGGTAAAGTTATTCCCTGTTGACAAGGTTGTCCACTTGTGTCCAACTGTATGGGCGGTGCTCATCTCTATTACTAAGTTGAAGAGCCAGTGTTGTCAGAGACTACTCTGTGATCATGTGGCCAGCATGATTGCATACAATGCTGTTTACCTTCCCACTGAAGTGGTACCTATTTATCTACTTGCATTTGCATGCTTTCAAACTGCTAGGTTGGCAGAAGCTGGGACTAGTGACAGGAGCTCACCCCATCATGCAGCTCTTGGGCCTTGAACTGCCAACCTGCCAATCTTGCAATCAACAGAGTCAGCATCTTAACCACTTGAGCCATCGCATCCCCATAACACGTAATTTAGTTAACATTATATGTGTGGAAGGAAGGTTTCAGCTGCCAATAGTCAGCCTGTGTACATAGACTGGGGAGGGAGAAGCAACCTCTTATATGTTTCCTTGGGGAGCAAAATGCCTTTAGCTGACCCTGGTTCCCACATACTCACTAGGTGAACAACGGTCTATGGTCACTTGACACCTCAGTCCTGTATAACCCTTTGAACAAAGGCAATGGAAACTTCCAGGGCTGTTAAGGCAGGATCCAGAATGGAGGCAGGGGCTTGACTGGCATTCGTCCACATCTTCTTCACATGTTGTCCCTGGCAATTGGGAAGGAATAGAATAATAAAGTGGTGATCTGTAGGTAAAGGTGGAAGTCATGTGGGCTAGGATGAAAGCAGAGAACATTGTATATACTCATGTATAAGTCTAGAAATTTTAGTCAAAAATTTACTCACAAAAGCTGGGTTGACTTATCCATGGGTCAATGTAAGTACTGTACCTTAACTCTTATCAAAAAAGGAACAATACCCTTCTCTGAGCTGAGTGGAAAAAGGCAAGAGTTTAGTCCCTCCCAGGAGAACCTAGAAGAAACACTGCTCTCCTCTACTCTTTCAGCCATGGCACCACTTCTGGCCTTTTTGAAAGTCTGGGTGGAAAAAGAGTGGTGACATGGTTGAAATAGTGGTGACATCCATCCAGCCTTTAGGATGAGCACAATCAATTATGCTGGCTGGAATTTTGTAAGTTCTTTGGCATTGGTTTCCTTTTCTCCATCCTTTACATCCTTTGTTACATGCCCCTATGTTTTACCCTTGACCTGTCCATGGTCAGATCAAAATCCATAATTTTGGCCACAAAACCTACCCTTGACTTATACATGAAGTCAACTTATAGTTACGTACATATGGTAGGTTGAAAATATGGGTCAATGTCCTTCAATATTGGTTGAAGGAGAGGTTCAGCTTCCCAGGGCAGGGGATGGGGTTTGGGACTAAGGGCACATTACCTTGGTAGCCACTGGGGCAGAGGCAAGTGAAGGCACCTTGTTGGCTCAGACAAGTGCCTCCTTGGTGACAAGGGCTGGAATTGCAGGCATTGATCTCTGTGGCACAATCTTGGCCTGTCCAACCTGGCAGACAAATACAATGCAGCCTGGAGAGGAGGGTTGAGAAATAGAAAGAGAGAGGGTTGATGATGATGATGATAATTTTATTTATTTATTTATTTGTATTTGTTGTTGTTATTTGCTGTCAAGTCAGCTCTGACTTATGACGACCCTAAATACCCTAAAGGCACCATCCCATCTGATCTTGGAAGCTAAGTAGGGTCAGTCCTGGTTAGTATTTGGACTGGAGGCTACCAAAGAATACCAGATATTGTAGGCTACATTTCAGAGGAAGGAATTGGCAAAATCACCTCTGAGGATCCTTTGCCTAAAAAAAAAAAGGTGTGTAATTAATGGGGTCACCATAAATCAAGAGGCAACTTGAAGGCACATGTACATGCACACAAATGAGAGATGTTCAAGATTCCCAGTCATCAACTGTCCTTCTCAGGTCTTGCAAACTCAGGTCATGGCTTCTTTGATTGAGAGTCTACCCATCTGCAGTACTGTCTCTCTCTTTTCCTGCTGCATTCCACTTTGATCAGCATTATCATCTTTTCCAATGAGTCACACTGTAATATGTCCAAAGTATGGCAGCCTCCATTTAGTCATCTTGTCTTCTAGGGAGAGTCCAGCTTCATTTTGCTCTAAGACCCATTCATTTGTCTTTTTAGCAGTCCATGATATCCATGAAACTCCAGCACCATATTTAAAGTAATAAGTTGATTTTATACCTGTCAGCTTTCACAATGAAACAGAAACCAGAAGTACTATAGCACAAATGAACCTGAATTTCAGAGCTCATGATCTATCTTGCACACCTTTTTATACAGCCTTTTCAAATGTTTGAAGAAGGGTTGAAAAGAATATTTGTAAATATTTGTTCTCCATTTGAAAAAAAAAAAGGTTTCCTGACAGTTGGGAAACTCCATGGGGAAGAATAATGCACCAGCAAGAATTTTGCAATTTTCTCCCTGTATTTGAAATTTTTCTGTATTTGAACATGTGGTTTCTGTGCACAAACATCTGTTGGTGGGTTTTAGGGAAATATGGGGAGAATACTTCAGAGGACTATTTGTTTTCTCCTATAGCAGGGAGAAAACTATGATAATTGTTCATCCTTGCATGTGGGAAGAGATTGTCTCTAGTTCAAAGTGCTTCACATGTACTGTCTAGCTATAATGCTTATGGAAATCCTACAAGGCAAGTCAGCCCTATTATCTTCCCATATGAGTCCCTATATTGGGACTATATATAAAGGCAGGATAAAATAAAATAAAATAAAATAAAATAAAATAAAATAAAATAAAAACTACAGGTGGTATGTATGTAGGCATTCAGGGCAGAAAACATTAATAAACTCTGAATGAAACCAGAAATACAATCAAATCATTAAAGAACAGATTTAAAATAACAATGAAAGCATGTCAATAAAAGAAAAAAACACAGAACAACAGGGAAGGATACAAACAACCCTTCCTTGGTGAGTTATTTATTTGTAATTACCTTTCCCCAGTAACAAAGGTATAACTACAACACATTATGAGTGTAAATTAACAAAATATATTGTGCCTCTTTTTGTGATGTGACTGCAATTGTAAGCTCTAGTAGTATTAAGTTAGAATCAGGTCTGAGAGAGAGCAAAGTTGTGAAGATATAGGGCTGCCACCTTTTCTCTGCCCTCATCCTACGCCTTTGCCTTTAAGAAGTGTTTGTGAACCACAAAAATTCAACAGGTGAAGATTTCCCTGGCATGGAACGAAGGAAACTAAAAACTCTTTACCAGCTTAAACACTGTATCATGCCAGCCTACAGCTAAAGGCACTGGGCCAGGGTCAGTTAAACCCAGATATGAAGAGAAACAGAAGCTAGGTGCTATAGACAATAATTTCTGAATAGCAATAACATCACGTTTTCCTATACCGGTAACACAAACACAAAAGTAGCTGTGTCTGTTTGTAAGAAAACAAGAACAAAACCTAGTGGGCCAATACCGTTTCGCCTATTTATATATTCATTCATTCATTTGTTCATTTAATATCTTGACTTTCTCCTTATTTAGAATGTAAGGCACCAATGAAGAATTCCAGAGACTAAAAGCTTGCACATTTCTGGGATATTTTAGTTCATCCTAATAAAATTAACGCCTGACTGTGGGTTTAGGTTTTTGGGTCCCCCACTTATAATGACACTTTTTATAGTAATAGTACAATCATAATGAGGAGGAGGGAGTGAGAAGAAAAGAAAAGCCCTTTTGCTGTGAGATTAATTCCTGTCTATGGAATCTGAGGAAGTAGACTCAAGTCTACGAAAGCTCATGCTACCAGCTTCTTTCTATCAGTTAGTCTCAAAGATGCTACAAGGTCCCTTTGCATACTATGGGTACATCTATAGTGTACAAATAATACAGCTTGTCACCACTTCAACTGCCATGGTTCCATCTTATGGAATCCTGGGATCAGTAGTTTTGTAAGGCACCAGCACCTTTTGGCAGACAAGGCTAAAGACCTTGTAAAGCTACAAATCCCAGGATTCCATAGGAAGGTGCTACAACACTTAAAGTGGAGTCAAACTGCATTGCAGTCGACCCCTTGTGTCCACAGGGGGTCCATTCCAGACACATACACCCATGGATAAGAAAAAATGCGGGACCTCAAGTCCCACTGTCCCCAATGGTGGCATGACGTGTGCGCAGCCACTAGTGCAGCTCATGCCACCATTGAGAGCAATGGGGCTCACGGTCTGCAGATGCTCAGATCCATGAATGGCAAGCCTGAAGATGATGACAGCTCGCTGTATTTCTACAGTGTAGATGTGCCTTATGTCATTTAATGCTTAGTGCTTAATAATACCATTAATGTTTAAAGCTAGCTACTTCCACTACAACCGTAAAAACCAATGGGATATTGAAATTGACTGGATTGGATCTCAAGTTCCTTTTTGGTCTAGTCCATTACCATTTTTTTTGTGGAAAATTTGAATGTGTGCTTGGCATGGTGAGCTTTGGTGCAGGTTCAGCCCCTTGGAATGATGCTTAAAACTAGATCTTGCGCCAATTATATTTTGCACTACAACTTGCAGAATCCCGCAGCCAGCATGGTCAATAGTCCAGATAATCTCCTAGAATGGAGATTCTGGGAGTTGCAACCCAACTTTTACATCTGAAAACCTGGACCAAGCTAGCCATGTTTTTCATTTAGAAAGCCTTCTCCACCCTACACCTTGTCCCTGCCCCATCCATACCCAGTTTCCGTTTCCTGGCAAGTACCTCCATTGAGGCACTGCCAGTTCTGGCAGGGGTCGCTGAGCTCCATGCAGAGGAGTCCTGTGAAGCCTGGAGAGCAGATGCATGTGAAAGAGCTTGGGGTGTTCATGCAGGTTCCATGCCCACAGGGGCTGCTGTGGCACAGGTCAGCCTCTCTCTCACATTGCTGTCCCTCAAAACCTGCAGAAGAGGAAACCGTGAGACTGTCATGGGTCTCGAGCCTTGCTTAGATTGCTCTTTTCACCTCTCCCTTTCCCCCTGCAT